GTTATGCAGCCATGAGGAGCCACATCTTGTGTCTCTGCCAGCTTCACGCGTGTTACTGCCGGTTAGCTCCAGCCATTGGCGATTGGGGGCAGACGTTTGTTTCACCTAGCAGCATAAGGGAGCCACCTCGGGCGTTGCGATACCAGAGAAAATAGCGCTTAGCCAGCAGCGCATCATATTACATAAAAAGGTAAGGTTAAGCTATCCCTATAACAAACCATGAAGGTCCATAGAATTGTGAGAAGTCGAGGTTCCCACATTTTCTCTAGACAGTGGGCTCACAGATGGCCGTGATGTTCTCAGTCTTACGCGCCGGCCATCCTTTAACCACAGGAAGATTCCTGGTACTCATTTCTGTTAGAGGCTGAGTCCACCCCAGGGCCATAGTGCGGCTGGAAGGATTAGGTAAATTGAAAAAAAAAAAAAATACAGTGACCTCATCGGGACTTGAATCCGACATCTTCCGGCTTGTAGCATAGTGCCTCAACCAGTTACACTACCGCGTGCCCCTGCGTTATATGACATGGCAGACGAATTGTAAACGATCGGAAAGGAAATGGTAATGGGCTGTTCGCCTGGAATTGCTTGAGAAATGTGGAGAACACTGTCAGCCTGAATATCACGTGACCTGGCGTCACGAAGCACCGCTCATTGGTTCTGTTTTGGGGCGTATTGTCAGGTTGTGCTGTCATGTCCGCGTGTAACAGCTCGAACTGGGGATGTTACTAAACCCTGCGTGCCATGTTACAGTTTTTGTTTAAATCGAACAAGAACAAGAACAACAGCGGGCGTTACATGAAGACGTGGCTATTTCGGCCGCAGCCCGCGAAATGTTTATCGGAGCGAAAAAATGTTTGGAGCAGAAGCTGCGGTGAAAAAACGAGGCTCGGCAAATAATACGCGATGCACGGCGGGGGTACTTGTGCTGTGTCATCTCATAACTCGGCCTGCCAGTGTTCGTCAAAGTGTGCAGCTCTCAGACTAGTAGTGATAGAGCTAGCCACTATGTAAGATTTGAGGGTTTGCGCCATGTAGATATTGTATAAACCTACGTTTCGTAGGAACGTATCGCCTCCATCTTCAGGGTATTTAATAAAAGTCCACGATCGAGGAACCAGCGTGAGCAGCTGGCTGCAAACTGCACGCAGGAACTGTACGCATAGCGCCCTTTCAGAGTCCTCTCTATTTGAGAGAAATTCGCAGGGCTTACGGAAGAAGTACTCATATGTTCGGCGTGTGTAGCTCAGTGATGCGCGCAGAAGCACACGCAGTCTCTTATTGCTGTCATATTTTAACCAAAATTGGACTATGTCAGCATATTCTGATAAAGTCTAGTTGCTTCATGCGTGCATGTGGACGGAAGGGGCGCTTTGTGGCCGCGAACTCGCCTAAACATGCTTTGACGAAAATTCGATTCGCGAATGAATTCGCCAGAACTCTGGTGCTGTGTGCACACATTTCCTAGCGTGCTAACCCTTCAAACCCCAGCGGTAACTATATGTACCGCCCGCTTTAACACACTAAAACTGTGCATTCTGCCCACAGAGTGTATCTGTGTGTTCCGAACGGTTCTCATAATTAACAGCGGCTGTTTCCCTAAACAGCAGTAACCGGCTGGGCTTTGTAGCGGAGACGTAATGTTTCCTGTGAGGTACGGACTGGATTCTTATATATACTGCATTCTGCCCACAGAGTGTATCTGTGTGTTCCGTATGGTTCTCACAATAAACAGCGACTGTTTCCCTAAACAGCGTTAACCGATTGGGCTTTGTAGCGGAGACGTAATGTTTCCTGTGAGGTACGGACTGAATGTTTATATACGTATTATTTAGAAAAAGTCCTTCTTTACGGGGTTGATTTTAAAGTGGGCGTTGGTCCTTCGAACCCTTCGCTGCGCTGGTGTGGGCTTTGGACAGTACTGCCGATTTAAAATGAACAAAGTTTGGGAGCTCGTGGAGTTATACCCGCCACAGCTGCCTCTTACGCCAGCGTATCCTTCTATCATGGGGCTTCCCGCTGCCTCATCGGTGGAGCGCGCGCCTTGCTGTAATTCCCTGAAGGTGGAGGCACCAAATTCTCCAGAAAGGTTGGTAATTCTGTCATAATATACGGTGTTACATTGCAAGTCTTCAGTAATGTTCATTGTCACCGTTACGACAAGCTAAAATTTCTGTAAGAGATTTCTTGTTACCGTGTTGACATGGTGCCCCCAGTGGGGCTCTGTCACTCGCCAGATGAGTTGGACATTCTACATACGCTAACTGTTAGCTGGTAAGTGCGGCTGTAAATTCCCTTAGCAGCCGGTCCCGGAGGTTCACTTACAGAAACCCGCCACCATTTCACTTGAGGAAATTGTTCGTAAGATAGACATTAATGTTATCCTTCAGTCTCGTCCTTGGTTCGCAATGCTGGGAGCAGCGAGGCGCGAAAACGACGTCCGATTTAGGCCTACTCATTACAGGGTCGGACATGTAGGCTTGGTTTTCCTCAGAAGCGGCCGAGAGATGCTGGTTGGGGCCCAGCGGGAGATGACACTGCTCCGTATCGATCAATGGTTTACGCTACCCGCGTGCGTTAGCCGATTCATTGAATAGAAAAATGGCATGAGGCAGTGAAAGTTTAATATTAATTGGCGCGGTGTAACTTTCTACGGATTTGTAGCTATTCCTTTTCCAATTATGAGACGTTCTAATTATGTGAAAGTCGGTCCGAGCATTGTCTGCACAGAATGTAAGCTCAGAATGCGTTGCTTGCGGAGAAATTGCGGATAAGTCGCTCTGTGGGCTCGCTGTTGGAAGGAAAGTGAACAGCTGAAGGCCGGTATCAGCTGCAGAGGCTCCCTTATGTAATGTTACATGGCATGAGGATGCGATGGTGGTGGCCTATGGCGACTGCAGGGCTGAGAGAAACCTTAGGATGGTCGAAGCTCAAACCCCGCATCTTCCAATAGCCTGCTGCCCCCCCCCCCGGTCAAAGCCAGAAGCCAACCCCTGAATATTTGTAATGGTATGCAGGGCAGTTTGAGTGCAAGGAAGGATGTTTGAACTCACACTGCGTCAAATAAACAGCGAGAATTTCCTCTCAAGGGCTTGAGTACCTCCTCGGATGTCTGAATTTGCAATACGTCAAATAAACGGTGAGATAACAGGCCTTGAGCACTTTCCCTGGTGATTAAATTTATAGTGCCTCAAATAAACGGTGAGATGCACACCTTCCCGGATGTTTAAATTTACAGTACGTCAAATAAACAATGAGATAACAGGCCTTACACATCTTCTCCGATGTTTAAATTTACAGTGCCTCAAATAAACAATGAGATAACAGGCCTTACACACCTTGCCGTATGTATGAAATGACACCGCTTCAGATAAACAGTTCAGAGATAATTAAACTGCTTTAAACATACAAACTAGATTTACGTGCTCAAGAGTACACGTGTTCGAATTCCGTTGGTTTGCGCTTTGCCAAAACGTCTCTGAGGGAAAGTAACGCTATGAGTAGGCAGCCCCGTGTGTTCAGTGCAATCCCCGGTTCCCGCCGTGGACTGGGGATAGGCGTACCTACCAAACACAGGCGGGACTTACCAGCAAAACCACATGGCCTATTGGGACATGTAGCGCGCATAAAGGAAATGAGAAATGCACGCGAAATTTCAGTGCAAATATCTGACAGGAGGGGAGACCGAGACATTGTACCTAAACAAATTCCGTATGAGGCCTGGATTCATCTGGCTCGGGGCAGGACCGGGTGGCACGCTGTTGTGAACACGGTCATGAGACCTCGGTTTCCATTAGAGGCGGGAATGTTTGACCAGCTGAGGGACTATAAGGAGTCTTCTCCATGTAGTCGCTTAGTTCCCAGCGAGTTGTGGGGTCAGTGACACTCTAGAAACGGGCTCAATTTGTTTCTGAAGGATGAGAAGCGATATGAACCTAACTGCGAGGAAGCGGAGAATTAAGCGACCACAATGATACGTTTCCTAGCAACCAGAATACAGTAATTGTTATGTGCCAACTGCAGAGAGCGGCTAATTTATTGCACACCTCCTGAATGATATGACCGAGATATATTGTTTAGAAACACGGACCATTTTTAGTTATTCTAATAATAGGCCTAGCCTATATAAAGTCAAGTTTCGTGATTAAGCCCACACTGTGTGTGTGCTGCTAACAATGGAAATTAGAAGATCGCGTGGAAACACGAAAGCAAAATGATACATTTGTTTTGTAACTCTAGCTCAGCATGGAAAGGGTTAACGGCAACATATCAACTAATTCACACATAGCAAGAGTAGGCTTCTGTACCTTGTCAGGGCCGCTGTAGCGCGAACACATAAGATTGATTGCTTAAAAACCTAGCAACCGGGCATTTAGTCCTCACATACTGTTACGGGCGGGTTCTGGAGCCATCTTGCTGACTACGGACGCTTTTGGCACCGTCTTGCTGACTAGGGACGGTGTCTAGCGCCGGTTTACCGCGCAATAACTAGGTCTGACACCGTCTGGCTGACTAGGGACGATGTCTAGCGCCGTTTTACCTGACAATAACTAGGACTGGTACGGTCTTACTGACTAGGGATGGTGTCTAGCGGCGTATTGCTGACTAGATACGGTGTCTAGCAGCGTTCTACCGCATAATAATTATGTCTGGCACCGTTTTGCTGACTAGGGACGGTGTCTAGCATTATTTTACCGCATAAGAACCAGGTCTGGTGCCGTCTTGCCTACTACGGACGGCGTCTAGCACTGTTTTACCGCATAATAATTAGGCCTGGCACCGTCTTGCTGACTAGAGACGGCGTCTAGCACCGTTTTACCGCATAATAACTAGGCCTGGCACCGTCTGGCTGACTAGGGACAATGTCTAGTGCCGTTTCACCGCACACTAACAAGATCTGGCACGGTCTTACTGACTAGGGACGGCGTCCAGCACCGTTTTACCGCACACTACGAGTAACTAGGCCGTACTGACAAAAGACCTGGTCTCACGGAGAGACTCACCGTTGGAGCAGACGCTGGAGGTCTCCCCCGGCAGCCCACTGTCCGTGCCGCTCTCGTGCCCGTCGCTGTCCTCTCCTCGGCAGTGCAGCGAGAGGTCTCGCGGGCCCTCGCTGCTGGAGGCCGGCGAACTGCAGGGTGAGCGCGGCCCGCTCGACAGGATGTCCGTTATCATGAAGCGAGACCTCGTGGTCTGGTGGTGATGCGGGGAGGCGTCCTGCTTGCCGCTGCTGATAGTCATATCGTCGACCGTCATTCCCCCCGCACCACCCCGTCCCGTGCTGGGCTCCAGCACGATCACCATCCGACACACGTCACTCGCGCATCACCACGACTCGCCCGCCTTTGCCTGAATCACCACTTGACAGCTAAACAGACCGACACTAGGTTCCTGCGACGCGCACTGCCCTCGCTCAACTCAGCGACTGATCTCGCCGCCCGCGCGACCGTCGCGCCTCTGGCGGCCATCTTGCGAGCTCGGCCCATCCTCGGGCGGAAGTGACCAATCGCGCTCCACGGGCCCCAGCCGACCAATCGCCGGCCGTGAGCGGTGGGGCGTGTCTAATTGATTTGTGTGACGTCACCGATGCGCCTAACCATTAAAGAATGCGGTGCAGTTAAGACGCCCCTCCCACCGGGCGCAATCACGGGGAAATCTGTGCCGCGCAGTGTTATGATGATAAGTTGCTTCTTTAAAGGAAACATGAGATCTCGGTGGAGATGTAATGATAATATTAAAATGCATCTTANAAGGGAAAACATGAGATCTCGGTGGAGATGTAATGATAATATTAAAATGCATCTTAGACTGGATAAGGGAAAACATGAGATCTCGGTGGAGATGTAATGATAATATTAAAATGCATCTTAGACTGGATTCATCTGGCTCAGGATAGGGACCAGTAACACAAACTCAGAAGGCGGGAATTTACTCATGATAGTTGTTTCACTTATCCTTCAGCTCTGAAGATGGAGACGATATGTTCCTCCGAAACGTTTATTGACTTTCACCAGACTAAACAGCGTTATATCCCAGAGGACTCAACTCTTCATGGTGATTGCTGTGAGATCGTGGAGAGCAGGTACCGCAACTGTCAGCTTATTCTCTGCTGCCTCCTGTCTCACGGCCGTCGCTATCGCTATGTGTTAGTAGTGTTACCTTTATTCAGTAACAAACCTTGTGAATAAACCTTGAAACTGAATAAAGAAATGAATTAATTTCCACCTATAACATCGGTATAGGATAGTGAATGTGCATGCAGAATTTCGATGAGGAAACCCCACCGAATGAAGGAGTAATATGCAACGTAACTTTCATCTTATCTCGTCCCTGTTTCGTATCGCCGCCCGCAACACAGAACAAAGAAGGCAGAAATATTTATGAAATTGTTTCAGTATGATTACCAGTATGTACGGCTGTCGAGCTAGAGGTTCTCGTTGTTTTCAATTTGATTGTTGGTCACCCTGTGAAGGGGCCGCGTCCAGCCGGGGCTGGTACGAAGTGATTGAGACCCAGTCTGTACGGCGGCACTCAGACGACGCTCTTGTGGGCGTCGAGCCATTGGCGTTAAGTTAGACCGCCAGTTGCAAAATGTAGGAATTGTGCGTTGCAGCGACCATGGGATCCAGTTCGCTCGTCACGCCTGCCAGCCATCGCGGAAACGGACACCTGTGCAGTTCCCGAAACGTCTGCAGAGAGTCGAGAAACCAGTAACCTCCAAGTGCGGTCACCAGAACTCTGCAGCCAGCTCAGTCACATTGTCGTCACGGTGACTCAGTTTGGTCCCAGCACGCCTTCATATGTTAACAACATTCCATCTACGACTGGGTCTCTCAAGTAGTCCTACTCTCTCTGAACAAGGACGACATATGGGGCCCATGAATGTCTGTACGTGCTACATGTCCAACACACCTCAGGAGACACTGAGCTGTTCTGTCCCATGGTTTTGTGTAGTGGGAGACCCGGGTTTACCCCCGTGCAGAACAAGGCTGTAGAGTCGTAGTCGGCTGAGAGTAGGCTCCTGAGTCTACACGCGTTCATTGTTTCTCTGCTGTCACTGATATAAGGCTCCTGAGTCTACACGCGTTCCTTGCGGCCCTGATGTCACTGATATAAGGCTCCCGAGTCTACATGCGTTCCTTGCGCCCCTGGTGTCACTGATATAAGGCTCCTGAGTCTACATGCGTTCCTTGCGGCCCTGATGTCACTGATATAAGGCTCCCAAGTCTACACGCGTTCCTTGCGGCCCTGCTGTCACTGATATAATCCTGAGTCTACACGCGTTCCTTGCTGCCCTGATGTCACTGATATGGGCACCCAGCCCCATGGAGGATACGCTTGTCTCCGTGGAAGAGACTCAGCTGCAACAAGCTTCTTCTGTGTTTACCTTTCGATTCGATTTTCCGTTGTCTGAGGTGTGTGTAATTTTCACGGCTTTTCGGAAATGAATGCAGGTGTTCCCCGCCCTAAATGTTGTGTGCGCTTATGTGGAGGCTGGCCAGTGTCCAACATACTGTCCGAGTTAGCGAGCAGCAACACAGCAGCTGGCTAGCATGGGAACGCGTACCCTCGCCAGACCCAACCATCGTGACCAGTTCCGAACGTTATTTAATTACACGGGAAGTGTGAGCGAGATTAGCATCGGGCGGCTAATCATAGCTTAACTGTGGACACAATGGGCCAATTTGCAAAGCAAACATGCTTCTTGTTGGCCTGACTGCCTCTTGGCACTTCTCGAGGCGTCACTGTATCACTGGCGGTCGAGACAAGTGTAGCAAGTCTGGTGGCCAATATATGCTCCTGTATTTATCATGTACGGTGATATCATTGCCACTGCGGCGTTTCTTTTAGTTTAGTTTGATAAATGCTTAGGTTATAGCCCAGGCTGTTAGTCACCGGCGGTCTGCGTTCGAGCCCAGGTCAGGTCATGTTGGATTTGTGGTAGACAGATTGGCAGTGAGACAGGTTTTCCTCAGAGTATTTCGGTTTCCCCTACCAATTCTCATTACACCAAGTGTTACATGCTCATCTATCATCCGGGCTGGTGCAATAGGCCAGTAGTGGCCAACGTACAAAGCGGACTCAGTCTCACCCCACCCCAAGAAATTAAAAAATAAAAAATAGGTTGCGTTAAGTTAAGCACAGGTGGGATAAACCCGATACAAGGTACCACATTTGGAGGTGCGACTCCATGTAGGCCCTCACATTCCACAGTTATACTCCTCTGGAGAGTTGGGGCGCGCACTTAATTTCGCGATGAATTCCGTGACTCGTTTAGCTTTATTCATTGTGGCCCGTGACGCTAGTTAATTATTATAAAATAATTTGACAACACCGTCCAGTGTGACTCGGTATATATTTACATGTTTCGGTCAGTTGTGCCCCAATACACAAGGGCAGAGAAACAACTTGACAACAACACAGATCATATAAAAAGGGGGAAACAACGCTACCCGGACCTCAGAGGACGGTAAATGACACCCCAATATGAAGAACGTTAATAATACATTATTTACTTAAACAGCTATTTAACGTTAATAATTGAAAATGTGTATACAACACTTTAAGCTTATGTACTGTGATCTATGTAATAGCAGTTCCTAACATGTTGCTTTCTGACCGAAACATGCAAATATATACTGAGTCACACTGGACGGAGTTGCCAAATTTTCCTATAATAATTAGTGAATCGTATTACGAAATATGGTAATTGAGGCACGAAAGCAGGAAGGTTGTGTTCGTTGTTTTTTAAACATGGCGGCGGAGCGCAATACTGAGGCTGCAGCCAACGGCTTGTGCCGTATTCAGCTGACAGTTACTGGCAGCCAGTGTTCAGGAAGGCTGCTAGCACGTTGTTTCCGGTGCCACTTGATTCCAATCGACATGCTGTTCCTTTTGTCCGCCTGTACGAATACAGCGCGTGCAGGCTCTTCACAGAACTTCTTGCAAGGATGTTTGGTCCACTTTGAGGCTTGGGATCGGGAGGTCCGCGGCCGAATTAATGAAGCTGCGACAGCGTGTGATTACAGCGAGACGCTGTGTCTAGCCGCTTGCGTTATCATTACGCAGAGATGGAGCACCTGGCTTGCACAGGTCTGCCAGAAAACATCCGGCGGAAAATAGTTGCTTGAGGAACTGTGCTGCTAGCCGAAGGTCGCGGGTTCGATTTCCGATGAAGTCATTGCAGTTTTCAATTGACCTAATCCTTCCAGCCGCACTATGGCGCTGGGGTCTACTCAGTCTCTAACAGAAATGAGTACAAGAAATCTTCCTGATAGCCTCACCGCCATCCGTGTGTCAGTTGTCTAGAAAATGTGGGAGCCTCGACGTCTCACTGACCTATGGGCCTCCACGGCCTGTTTTTCTGTCACATCTGATGCACGGAGATGGGCTGACACACGACGTTACCGTTATATTAGCATTTCTTGCTCTGTATCAAATGAAAGCTTGAGATGGATGTCAGGAGAATACGCTGAAGGAATGTGACTAGATTTAGAGTACGATGAAATTGTCGGCTTTTGTATTCGTGGTGCTGAACCTGTGGGTGAAAGCGGGTGATTGTCTCATGTTTTCCGGACGGTCGCCGCCCGCCTGGACCTGTTCACGAACCTATAATGACTTTAATGAACAACTTATTCGTGCCATGGTGCAGTACACATCCCAGTGGTTAAGTTTGTCCTTCTCTGATCTTGAAAATAACGACACACGATGAGAAAGCGGGGGCCATTATATGCGATTAGCGGTAGAGGCCTCGGCAAACTTGCAGTACCTGCCCTTGCAGCGCTGTTCCCGCTGTCCTGCGCGCCGTGTCGGCAAGGGACCTGCAGTTTGCGGCGGCCTGTGGCCCCTCAGCAAAGTGCTCGTTTCATTATTTTAATTCAGGAACATGTCATTACTGTGTAATGGCCAGGGGATGGATACGGCGTAATTACGGGACCGATGCAGCCAATCCGAGGGATGCTCTCTCAGCGGAATGGCCCCGCATTGGCTGGTCGTGTCCACCGACCAGAGGGATGTACAGCTCTTCCACCCAGTTCAGTTGCTCTCCTCACACGCAGCTTCATCACCGCATCAACAAAATCATACCACTGACGTTTGCCTCGGTGCTACTTTGACCGCTGCACCTTCGCACCTGCTCGCATGTTTCGTTGCCCTGATCCTAAGGGCCATACTTTGTGCAACCCTGAGAGGCACGCACGAAGCAAGGACAATAAATTGGTACTTGTCGGAGGTAGCAATTTGAGTGAGATGTTGATCTTCCAACTCGCGTATTACAAATCGTGATGGGGCTCCACCCCCACCAATCATGCTCTTGTACGCCATCTTGGGCATTCCTCTGTAATTTCACATGTGTGGGCAAATTCTCGGCCGCGGGCCCCGCAATTTCCATATCTCATTTACGCCATTTTACTTTGCGGTTTCATTTCCCACGCTCCGAGTTCATCT